TCCCGTGCGACGTTACAAAATTATCAGCTGCGTTCTGACAGATGTGTGACAGTTGGATTTAGTTGCAGTGTGCGTGGACAGTGGCGGACCGAAAGCGAGCGGGGAATGCAATCGCAATCAGTGAAGCAAAGGAATGCGACGAGCAATATGCAAAGTTTGGGGGAGAGAGTGAAGGTGTGCGTATGTGCGTACATTCTATAGCCACGAGTTGATGCGAGTGTAGGAACATGTCAAACGAAGGGGTGTTTCGGCAACTTTTGATGGCGTCGTAAGCAAATTAAGTTAATTTAATTAATGAAGTCACATTTGGCTAATAAGCAGACATCTCAGTGCCTATTCGCAAGGCAAGTGCACTTGTGGGCTATAATGTGCAAAATAGCAAAATGCTGCAAGAGTTTGGGTCCGCTACGAATACATATGCACACATACACATTTCTTATATAAACTTATCGACTTAGTTCTGCTGTCCAGTGCAGGGAATGAATAAGCAGTGCTCAATGACACTTTCAACTTTCCTCTGACAACCTTTCAGTAAATTCAATAACTTTTGCTTTAAGTGCTATCATTTACGCTTCAGTACTGCAAATTTTCATAACTGTTAAGTATACCGTAGCAGTGACTGCCGGTTAAGTGGGTCATGCACTTTCAACTTTCCACTGGTTTTTGGTAAAAAAAAAAATCAGCGTTTTCTCGAAAAAGCATTTCCGTAACAGAGACTTTTGTTGCTTCCTTACATTTGCTGCACTCGCCTGTTGTGCGTTGCGGTGTATATTTGCTACTAATTTCGAGTGCGGGTGCAGCAACAGGCACTAAAAGCAAACACACGGCACAACCGATGGAGGTTGCCCACCCGTCCGTCCGTTCGTTTGTCGATGGCTTGCAGCAAGCTGTCGCGCAGGCATTGCGTTCAATGCGAGTAGATGATGTAGGCGTGTGTGTATGCGGTTGCAACGTCAACGCTGAAACATTTTTCTCATTAAGGCCCACAGCTCAACAATTACCCAAAAACAATAGCTGAAATTGGTGGCTGGTGGCTGGTGGCTGGTGGCACGAGGAAGCAGCAGCCAGTAGCACAGCCAAGCATACAACAAGTCGCAGTGGCTTTGATACCACTGTGGCAACTTCAACTCTGCTCTATACAAAAAACATAAAATACAATATAAGTAAAAAAGAGGCAAGGGCCAGCAATAATGGCTTGTCATCCTGTTTTTCCACATAGCGGAAATTTAGTTTGTTGTTAGCTGTTGTTGTTATTGTTGTTTCTCTTTTGCTGTTGGCAGTTATTAAAGCTTGGCATTGGTTTAAAAACTGCTGTATGTGTATGTATGTATGTATGTATGTCTGCATGCAAAGTGGGTCAAATTAATTGTTACATGAAACATTCAAATCGCTGCTGCCTAAGTGCCAACCAAGATTCAGTTGTCAAGGGAATATGCAGTTCACTTTATTTAAGAACAAGCGAACGAATAGTCGGAGAAGTAAGTGAAGAGTAGAACGCATGGTTTCAGTCCAAGATACATTTTTAGATACATAGATAGACATACAAGTGCAAGTAGGCCCGAAACGAACGCCGAATTATGCGAGAACAAAAGATCTACTTTTCTTCATTTTGGTCAAGCAAAGCTTATTTTGAGCGCACTCATCTTTCGCGGGCGCTTGGATTTTCCGCTAATACTATACTTCAGATTTTCGCATTCATCACCAATTTAAGTATGCCGTATCGCCAAAGCTAGCCTGATTTACTATACCCACTTTATGGGTAAAGTAAAGTAACTGCGAAACGCACAGCGTAAGTGCACTTTGCACCGCACCCACACCGTATAGACATAGTTTCTTCCGCCCCGCCCTACTTTGCTTTGCGCTGATTTCAACCGCTGCTGTTCCACATTTCGGTTGAACTCATTAACCCATAAAAGTCAAGAGACCAGCAGAAGGACAGACGAGTGAATAGTGAATGGCTGAAAAAAAGTGTATGGAAAAAATGCTTAGCAAAACAGAAATACAGCAAATGGCACTTTAAAGACTAAAACAAGTATAACAGCAACAAAAAAAGGTGTTTAAATCAATGTTGGCAGGTGGAAAGCATGAAAAAGTCGATGTGAATGGGCAAAGGCAACAGGAAACCAAATTCAATAATGGCAGTTAGACATGAATGTGAGCAGCGAATAGCGAGCAAGTGAGGGCAAGTGTGCAGTAAATGTGGCGATAATTACTGCAAGCACCCCAGTGGAAGATTGAAAACAAAAACTGCCAGCGGACAGCCGCACACCGCCCCGCCCATCGGAGAGTAGCAAATGCACAGCGCGACAAGCCACTACTGCGAAACAAAGCTGCATTTGTGTGCTTATTACCGGCCTAGTATTCTTGCTACACACACACACACACACTTATGCACATTTACATACATACACTACATTTATAAGTGGCAATTCTCGCATTATCATCACCTGCTCGAACACATTCTCCGGACTGCTTTCCCGGCTATCCTCTTCGTGATGCGATGACGACGATGCGCGACTCAGTTCGATGCGCGGCGTCGAGGGTGTGGTAAGCGTAGTGGTCCCCTTGAAAATGCCAGCCATGCCAGCTGCCACCTGCTGAAGCTGCGGTTGTTGCTGTGGCTGACCAACAGTGTCGCTGCCGGTCAATGGGCCTGCAGTGGTGGCGGTGTTGGCGGCAACGGTTGCCTTCAGAGGGGGTGCACGCTTCGCATTGTTGCCATCGTGTTTAGTTCTGCTGCTGGGTGAAGCAGCGCCGCTCCCTGACATCGATATAGCGATGCTGGGTTGTTGCTGAGCATTTCTGGCTGCTCTACCTGTGTCTGTAGATGAGTTTGTAATGCGCTCGTGTGGCTCCATCTGTGTGGGGAAGAGAAATATCGAGTTACAAAGGAAAGCCAATGTGTATTTTAATGGGTTGTTAATTTAAAATTAACTTATTTTGCATTATAAAGTAAGTAATGAGCACACATCCGGCACATCATCAAGTGTATAAATTATAAAGTAATACGAAATTTTTGGATTTCGATCAATTCAAATCATTTCAAATTTGAACAGGATTTTCTTTTTAATTGCCATTAATTCAAATAAATTAAATTCTTATGGGATACAAACGGTAAGTTGGAGATGAAAAGATAAATAGCTACAATATTTATTTTCCACTCTTGTTTTCTTTTTTTTTGCCGTAAAAGATTCCTCTATAAAACTTGTCTGCTGTTCGAAGACTGAGTTGCTTAAATTTCCTTTAAAATTTTACATATATTCACTTTTATTTGCGTACACACATACACACTTAAACAAACTCAAGTGTCATTACTATCTATAAATAGTGCCCTTCATACAACTCATGACTGCCATTTTCTATACACTTGTGAACGCTGTTTCCGGCGCTGTCGACGCTTCAAAGATGTCATCCTTGAGCATATCAACTTTTGTGACATTCAAAGGAAATGAAAGACGCTTGATTAAGTTTAACTTAAAACACAGCATTCGGGAAATGTTTTTCACTTCCATTTTGCCGTACAACTTTGTCATAATTAAATTGATTTTCATGTTTTCTGTTTCTTGAAACTTTTATTAAATTTACAACTTGCCGCTTGTAAAACTTTGCAACTTGGGCGACAAAAGCGCAAAGGGATGCATACCAAACTTTTATTTTGCTTCAACTTCGATGCCATTAAAGTATTCATGTGTCATAAGTCAATTTTCACTCGCTTCTTTGCCACTTCATTTGCCAACAACAGTGGGAATTATTGTGCGATTTTCGATTAAAAAAAAAATATATATATATTCGTTGTGTATATGTATTTTTTACTAACATTTTCAAGAAATTATTTTTATTGCGCTCAGCAATATTTTTCTTTTTTTT